CATTTGTAAATTCTCCATCTTCATCTTCTTTGTTATGTGACCCTTTGCCACCATTGTTGAGAATAAAATATTTTGCATTCAAAGGCTCCCGGGTAAGTCATCTTGAGTTTTCTCCCATTGAGCAGTTATTAGAGAGACTTCTCGAGAAGAGACCTGATCATGCACTTGTTAATCAAGTAGAAGGAAGTGTTGACTGCTTCAGCCCATGAACTAGGTCCTCCTAACCAACTTGTTCAACAAATAAAAACTCGCATGCCCCAGTCGTCTGCGCCATAACTCAGCATCATCATCAATGACACTTAGGCATGTTAGATCACCACCATTCACTGAATCAAGGTCTACAACATAGATGTTCTTGAACCTTTTGGCTATTAACACCACTTCACCAGTTTTGAGATTGGTGATAGTGCAAGATTTGGACAAGAACTTCACTTCATTTTCCCTTATCACAAATTTGAGACACACTCAACAAGCTATATTTCAAGACATTCACATGGTACACATTTTCAATTTGCATGGGAGAGTGTTTAGCCAATTTTGCCAACACCAAGAATATAGCGCTTCTTGCCGTTTCCAAAGGACACACTCCCACCTTGGAAGGCCTAGAGTGAGAGGAATTCATCCATTCTTCCAGCCATATGCTTGGAGCAGCCGCTATCCATGTACCATTTTTTGACTGCTACCTCTCACTCCAGCCTGCACACAAAATCACTGACTAGACTTAGGAACCTAAGTTAGCTTATGTCCCTTATAATGATAGAATGGGCAGATCAAACTTCTTTTTGCCCTACAGGCAGCACATATTTTCTTTCCGGAGAACCAGGTTCCTCAATTGTAGGCATCTTTTCAACAATAACTTTATTTTTCTACAAAGACTGAATTTTATTTTACAAGAGTCCTTGTAATGACCCGTCTGACCACAGTGAGTACACAACTAATTATTACCCACTATTACATACTTGATATGGGGATTATAGGAGGTTTTAACAATTTGGAACCCGATTCCTTGCATGTTTCTGCTATTATTCTTGTACATAGACGTTATTAAATCAGAGGACCAGGTCCATTTAAGTGACTTAGCAAGATCAATTTTAACCATTTTCAGATTCTCCTGAAGTTGTCTATTCTTTTCAAGCTCAACAACAAGACTTGTTTTAACTTTCTTAAGCTCACTCCTCAAGCTCAAGTTGAGCTTCACTAGCCATTTCTTTACCCTTAGGGGTGTCCATCCATTCTGTTTTTCAACAAGGTATTTTCTCTGGTTACTTCTTCCATATGTTCCTTCAAGTCTACAATAGAAACTACCATATCATCCCTCTCTTGTTTTATGTCACCAATTTCTTCAAACAGAGCATTTTTCTCATTAATGAGGCTACGATAGGCATCAACCAACACATTTTCTAAGGACATCAATTTTTTCTTAGAGTAAGTTTTTAAATTTCTTTGAACATCAAGAAAACTTACCTCACCTTCCTCCTTGTCCTCGTCATCATCAAATTTAGCCATGAGTGCAAAGATTAACTCATATTCTGAAGATTCATTGTTAACAACCATCATAGATGCATCTCCTTGGTCATCCTCACCTTCAGATTCACTGGAGGAATCTCCCCAATCAGCCAAAGCTTGCTTCACCATGTTGTCAGCAACATCTCTTCTTTTGAACTTCCTGTCCGAGACCTGGTTCCTCTTAGCCGCCTTATCAGTGTTGGTTTTGTAATGGTCCTGCTTATGAAGATTACAGTTTTTAATGAAGTGTCCAGATTTTCCACACTTATGACAACAATCATGAAACTTCTGCTGGAACTTCCTTTCTTTGGAATCCCACATTTTTTCCAATCATCTTTTGGAATCTTCGAGTGAGATACTCCATGTCAGATCCATCACTACTTGAGTCATTATTGGTAGCTTGGAGAACCAGGTTCTTCTCTTTCTTGGGCTCTTTTCTTTCAATATCATTCTTTCTCTTCATCTCATAAGTTTTGAGATTTCCAATAAGCTCGTCAATAGTCAGCTTCTGTAGGTCTTTGGCTTCAGTGATAGCATTAACCTTGCTCTCCCAGGAACCTAGTAGAACACTGAGTATCTTCTGGACCAGCTCGTTGGTTGGAATAATTTCACCAAGTGAATGAAGCTCATTGATTATGGAGGTGAAACGGGTATGCATCTCTTGAATGGCCTCTTCCTCTTTAATTTTTAAAGAGTTCATACTCAGTTGTAAGCATATCTATTCTGGACTACTTTACCTGAGTAGTTCCCTCGTGAGCCATTTTGAAGAGCTTCCCAGATTTCCTTGGCAGATTCACATGCCGAGATACGATAATGCTCGTCTGGTCCAATACCACACACAACAATCTTCTTCACCTTGAAGTTCTTCTCAATAGCTTTTCGATCAGCATCATTGTATTCTTTTCTTGTCTTTGGAATAGTCCTTGTTCCCTCTCCAACGGCATTCATAGTGACAAAGGGATCATCACAAATCACGCCCCAAAGCTCGGAGTCTTCAGCCATAATGAAGTCATGAATCTTTATTGTCCATCAATCATAGTATTGACCGTTGAATCGTGGGGGGTCTATAGGCTGATTGTCCTTCCTTGAAGTTTGGTGAAGCAGCCATGATAGAAACCCTTTCTAGGTGTTAACCTTTTAGAAAGAACCTACTCTGATATCAATTGATAAAAATTAAGAGTCCACTAAACTGTATAGATAACCAGGTTCTCTATCAGTTCCCACAGTAAGCAACAGACTGTTAAATCAAACAGTATAAGGTACCAGGTTCTCAATCTGTTCCCACAGTAAATTGGCAGTAAACGCGATATTTACGTGGAAAACTCTTTGATCAAGGGATTAAAAACCACGACCTACCCTAGTAGAATTTCAACTCCACTAAACCGAGCAAACTTCATATTACAACCTATTGTAATCTAGGAATTAAACTCTTAATCGCCCAACCCTTACAACAACTCTATTTTAAGCCCTTAGCAATAACTCTATTACAAAGCAACAAACCTTGACTAACTCTAGTCAAGAAACTAAACCAAACAATGGTTTAAATCTGTCCTACAAAGACACTTCTTGAAAGTACTGTAGGATTACAAATGAAGAACAAAATAAGAAAGACTCAACAAACCTAAGGACTTAAGATATCTTCAATCTTTGGATGTGGTCCATGAGGTTGCAGCAACTTTGTTCTTGGGAGAGAGGTGGTGGCTAGCACTTGAGAGAATATAATCTTTTAATTTGCAAGTGTAGTAAATAAAATCCCTTGCCTCATGTTGATAATATGTGTGTGTGAGGTCATCAAGGATGAGTGTGTGTGAGGTCATCAAGGATGATGAAATAAAGTGTCCTTCAGTTTGGCCTTAGCAAGCTACAACTGTACTACTGCCAGACGATACAGAGCAACAGCTTTTACAATTGTAGAGCTGACTGCACGACGACCAGGGGAACTGATCCATACCTATTCCTTCTGATGTTCCCTTATATGATTTCATTGAGAATTAAACCAGACATCTGACTAGTTACTCTGGACGCAAGGGAACTAATTGTATCAGGTTCGTTGTCTGGTTCTCTCATGAAGTTTGTCTAATCATCAAAACAAAAGACGCATAACTTATCAACAAACCTTGACAATTCATTAGTGTTGTGCAAATGTGGACTCCTCATCCATAAAAATACCAGTCATCTTCCTCCTGCTATTGAACAACAGAAATAATTGATGCATCAGGTGTAGTAACATCAACAATATATTAGCAGTGTTATTTTCCATAATAACGTCATGAAAATATCATTAAGATTATGAAAAAACACTAGTTATGAAGAATAAGATTTAGCGTGAGGCATCTCAGGCGCACTATCCTTAAGGATATTTTATTCATACAATAATGAATAAAATTAGGCGTATCCCCTAGGATTCAACAAGCTCTTTTAGTTATAAAATTGGGAACAGAAATAACAGAAAATCCAAGAAAGAAACTCAATATATAGGAGGAAAAAGATGATTCAAAAAGCTGAGTTAACAAGTCTTCAAAATACCTTGTATATATAGACGTTGCTCCAAGGAATAGTTAATAGCTAGTTTAACTCTATTAAATGTAAAACAATTTACTAAATAATAAATAGATATAAAATAATATTTCAAAGAGAAATTTTTTTAAATCAAGATGGACATTACTTTTTAACATACCACTAATCTTTTAATATAAATTAAATAGGCGTAAAATTTTTACTAGTTTCACTCAAGTCGTAAAGATGGGATACTGTACCATTCTTACACGTTACAACCTAAGCCAATTACGAAGACATGAAAGAGATAACTTTGACCATTCATTTATCTTAGACGTCGGGAATCGAATTTAGTCCACAAAGAACAACAATAATCACAGTATCACAGTATTCTTGAAATCATTGTATTTGGAATTTGGTGCACTGTCCATTTTTCAGCAGTTAAATTGTACTAATGGTATGAAAAGAGATATTTTAGTTTTAGCAGCTTTTACTAGGAGGATTGTAGATATGTAATTTTTGACCCTTCCCAAAATTTTACATATTTCAGCATTTAAATATTTAATTTAGGCTTAATATCGCTATTTCAACTAGTTTTGACTCTTTTACTTTATTTTGTCACAAAAATAAAAATTAGAAAATATTTTTTTTTATTTAGGTAATTGATATTTTATATTGTTACTTTTAGTTTGTCTATTTTTCATAAAATTCAAAATTACAAAAATAGTTCCACTTTGTTTTCAGGAATATTAGTAGGTTGGTAGGAATATTATTTTAATTTTGTAATAATTTTAATTTAATTCCATGTTTATCTTTTAGTATGCTATTTAAAAAATACCCAAAATAGGTTTGTTTTAACGGTTAATTTTGTTTTACTAATAGTTATTTTACTTAAGTAGGATTAATTAGTAAATGAGATAGTAATTTTAGTCTTGTTCAATGAGAAACAATAAAATTTGAACTTAAACAATCCATTTTTAATCCCAATTTTCAGATTAACCCATTAAACTCAATACCCACTAAACTAACCCTATAGACCCTCCTAGACAACCCTAAACCCCTTAACCCTGAACAAAAAAAAGAACCCTATCCTACACAAAAACAGGGACGCCACAGACCACCATCAAAAAACCATCGCTGCTCCTCCTTTTGCTTCAACACCAATCAGCCGACCCCAAGCAACAAACTAGACGAACCCAGCCTTATTCCGCCACAACCGACTCACCCCCACCTCCCTTCACTAACCAGCAGCTCCATCCCACCAAATCTCCAACCCTCAGCCGCCGTTTCCCACCAGCCACCGCCGACCTCACCCCTAATATCTCCTTTAAAAAAAAAAGAAAACGAACAGCAGAGAGGTGAAGAGAGGACAAAATTAGCTGACACCCTCACCACCCAAAGACACACGCTCAGACGGACAAAGAACGAGAGTGAAAGGTGATTGGAATTTCAGTCCAAAATCGAGTGAATTCTTGGAATTCATTCAAAGTTTCAGGAGGAAAAGTACAACTAAAGAATATAATGTTTCTTTGTGAGTTAGTTTGTGGGCTTGAATTTTAGAAAGAAAAATACAAAATACATACTACTGCTTCTTCTTTTTGATTTCAAAATGGGTTTCAAAAAATATATATGGAATTTGGTTGAGCTGAGGGTGCTTCAAACTCGTTGTTGATCGCCGTTCGAGGTTCCGTCTGATTCGAGTTTTGGCCGTAACTATTGCTTCGTCTCTTTTTGTGTAACTGCTGGATTATTGTTTGTTAATCGAAGGCAATCCCAGGTTTCATTCTTTCCCCTCTTATTTCACTGCTATTAGTGTTAATCTGAGTATAATGAGAGCCGTTTAAAATTTGGAACATAAAAATTCAATTAGTGTTGAAGTTTAGTAATTCTCTTGCTCCTTGTTGGCGTAAAGTGTTCGTGCATAATAATTGGAATTGAAATAGTACTCCTATTAACTAGATCTAGGACAAGAAAATGATTTTTATGGAATACCCTTTAGCTTCAGTCTACTTGATTGATTAGGTTCAATAACTCTCTGCCACATATAAAAAAAGAAAGAAAGAAAAAACGTGCACAGTTCATATCCCACAATGAGATTCTCGTTAGATGTATTAGATATAAAATCACATGCTAATTCTTATACCCGCTGAAGCAAGTTATAGTTAACATCATTTTTTGGTTTTGGTTATTAAATGCAAATCGTGCGTAGTTAGTGCTAAATTAGACATTTGCTCTCTCTCCGTTAAATCTTAATGTTAGTGTAGTAACTTGTGAGTAGGGGTGTACGTGAGGCGGTTTGGTTCGGTTTTTTATTAAACCAAAATCAAACCAATTATGTCGGTTTACTAAATTGATAATCAAATCAAACCAACATAACCTCGGTTTTTTCGGTTTCGGTTTTTGTCGGTTTTTTCGGTTTCTTCAGTTTTTCGGTTTATTTTCGGTTTTGTTTTTTAGTTATATTATGCTTGAAAAAGAGATCAAATAATCACCAATTGCCTGCATGATTACTATTCATCACAATAATATACGAGGAATAGCAATTGTTTGTATGAATGATACTTTCGACTCCGAGACATTCCATAATAGAGACAACAAACAGTTGATGAACCAAAAGCTACAACCCAACTTGTTGCACCACAAAAAATATTAAGTTAATTAAAGTTGGCCAAGACAAAAGCTAGAAATAAGCAGCAAGCAGCCAAGTACCATGAATTAAGCGCACCTGTAAGCAAAAAGTTAAAATATAGCACTTGTAAGCAAAAGTTAAAATATGTTAGGCTTAACAGCTTAAAGAAAAAAAAGGAGATATTCCTGCAGACACACTGCCCCACTTTCAGGACCATATGCTTCTTGGTATTTTCATTTTAATAGTTTTGCTATAAATACTAAATGATTATAAAAAGAGGCT